AACACATTTGAAAAGTCTCGAACTACCGAAATCTCTTAAATATAAATTTCTTTCTTGGGTTTGCCTATTTAAAAAAAATAGTCGGGTTAAAGTACTTGATAATAGAAAAATTTACTATGAGGGAACAAATGTTAAAGAATTTTATTAATTTGTAAATGACACCTCATTAGGAGGGTTGAATACAAGTTTCATATGAAAACAATCTACAGTGGCATGATAGCCAGTTTATTCCTAAAATTACATCAAAGTCTCCCGTGTCAATTTCTATTAGTTCCACACTCAATTTCATATCTAGTATATTAATGATACAAGCTCTGTATATAACCTCTCCCAGTAGTATCCTACTTCCCAGAGTATACACAAACAACACAGAATCAAGTCTTTTAGGTAATACATTTAATTTTGATGCAAAAATATGTAAAACAAATGAATTTGAGGCACCAGTATCAATCAAAACATGTGCAAGATAGTTACAAATAATGTACCTACCCTGTACCATGTCTGGGTTGACTTCTATATCCTGATAAGTGAGGTTGTAAGCTTTGCCCTGAATAGGAGGTTTGGCCTAGTTCTGGTTTTTTGAGCACTCCCTTGCATAATGCTGGGCGCTTCCACATATGCGACAAGTGTTGTTGAGACGGTAGTATGGTCGATTCCTGTGATCCTTGCCATAGTGCTGGCAAGTCCTACCGCGTCCTGTTATTGGAATCTGATGGGGAGTCTAATTATCAGCCCAAGTCTCTTGTTCTGTTGAACATGTGCAGTAGGTGCTGGTCTGCGGTGTGAAACCGATGGCCTGAGGTTCCCCACTGCTATAAGGAAAATGTGAAAGTTCATCTCCACTAACTGTGCCTTGGCAAGAAAAACCGAATAAGTACTAAACTCGAACACATACAACTGTTATCTGATCTCAGGACAAAGATCCCACTCGAACTTTCTTGCCTTCCTGCCTTCATCCATCATGCTCTCAGGGCAATATCGGCCCAACTCTAGAAACTCTTGAGCATATTCTAATACAGTCATATCATCCTGAACCAGGTGTGTAAACTACATTTTCTTCAGATGTCGGGGATGCTCTGGAAGGTACTTTACATGAAAAGCCATCAAGAATTGTTCTCAAGTAACTGGAACGGGCATGGTGGCTTGTTTGAGTTGCCACCAGCAGCCTGCCTCTCCTACCAATATGTAAGTAGTAAATATGACTCTCTGTTCGGGAATTACACCAAGAGTCATGAATGCTTTATCTGTGTTAGCTAACCAGTATTCAGCCTTTTCAAAAGAGGATCCCCTTGCAAAAGTAGATGAGTTTAGTCTTTTATACCTCTCAATATAGTATAGGTCCATCATTGTTGGAATTAAGTCCCGTGGAAGAGGGACTGAACTGTGCTGAGAATGACTTAGATGGCCCTGTGGTGGTATTGGATGATACAGTGGAGGCATCGGATTGTACTGTGGTAGTGTCGAGTGATGCGGTTGTTGCACCGGGCTATATTGTGGTAGTGCTAGGTGGTACTGTGGATAGGGGACCAGATCATACTGTAGTGGTGCCGGGTAGTACTGTAAAGGAGAAGGGTCGTACCGGGGTGGCTCAACCTGTGGCAGCAGGGGAGGGTCAGGTAGCTCCCTCCTTTCCTCCCGGGCCTACTTGGCAGTAATGAGTATCTCCAAACATTTTAAATAATCGGTCAACATCCTCTCTATGCGAACCCTCCTGGGTTGTTCAGTTTAGTGAGGGTCTTCTCTCATTATCTATCTGTACCTACATTTCACAAGGAACGGTTGAGTGATAATTTATTTATTTTTGGGTGTTTTCTAAGAATTTTGTGTAATGAATGGTTATGAGGAACGATACTCTGATACAAACTGTAACGACCCCAGAAACTCTAAATGAGATAAATTATAATTTTAACGCGGAAGCAAAATACATAGTTAGGATTTAC